CCACGCCCGGCTGATTTTTGTATTTATTGTAGAGATGAGGTCTCGCTGCCCAGGCGGGTCTCGAACCCGTGGGCTCAGGCAATCCACTCAACTCAGCCTCTCAAAGGCACGGGATTACAGGTTGAGCCACCGAGCCCGGCTGATAGTAAATATTTTAGAGTTGTGGGCCAGGCGGTCTCCGCCGCAACCACCGAAGTCCTCCATTAACCACGGCTTTCTTTTCCTGGTTTCAGTTACCCGTGGTTCTGGCATTTTAAGTGGACAATTCCACAAGTAAGCAATTCGTAAGTTTTAAGTCGCCCACTGTTTGAATCCGGCGGGGAGGTTTTGCGCGATTCCTCTCTAGGGCCTGGAATGTGAGTCCTGCCTTGGTCCCGCGTCTCCACGCTGTCCACACTCCCTGCCCTGTGGTCACTTAGAAGCCATTTCGGTTATCAGACTGACTATCGCCCATATCATTGTGCTTCTGTTCAAATCACCCTGCGTTACTTAGTAATGGCCCCAAAGCAAAGTGTAGTAATGCTGCCGATTAGGATATGCCAAAGAGAAGCTGTAAAGTGCTATCCTTCAGTGAAAAGGTAAACGTTTTTTACTTAATAAGGAAGGAAAGTTTATCGTATGTCGAGGTTGCTAAGATAATTTGAGAGTGCTAGACCACATTCACATAACTATTATTACAGTATATTGTTATATTATTACAGTATATTGTTTTGTTAGTTATTGCTATTAATTTCTTCCTGTGCCTAGTTTATAAATTAAACTTTATAATAGATATGTATGCATAGGAAAAAACATAGTTTATATACAGAGGTTGCCAAAGAAATGTGTACACCTTTTTTTTTTTTTTTTTAATCGGAGTCTCAATCTGTGACCCAAGCTGGAGTGCAGTGGCACATTCACTGCCACCGCAGCCTCAACCTGCTGGGCTCAGGCAATCCTTCCGCCTCAACCTTCCAAGTAGCTGGAACTACAGGCACTCACCACCACGCCTGGCTAATTTTTTGATTTATTATAGAGAGGAAGTCTCGCCAAATTGCCCAGGCTAGTGTTGAACCCCTGAGCTCAGGCAATCCTCTTGCCTTGGCCTCCCAAAGTGCTGAGATTATAGGTGTGAGCCACCGCATCCGGCCTAGATGTATACACATTTTAAGAGATGTTATCTATGCATTACTTTTCGAAGCTGAATTAAATTAGTGTAGCAATGTGCAGTAGGGCATTTGTGCAACCGTGATTCCGCCATTTTCTTTGGCTGTCCTGCCTGTTGCATGGTGATGTTAGCATTCATTTCATTAACGCTACCTTTTGAGCAAACATATTTAAAATGTGTATACATTGTTTTGGCACCCTCTTTTTTTTTTAAAATTCAGTCTCATTCTGTCACCCAGAACTGGAGCAGTGCCACGCTCCCAGCCACCGCAGCCTCTGATCTGCTGGGTTCAGGCAATCCTTCCGCCTCAGTCTTCCAAGTAGCTGGAACTATAGGTGCATGCCACCACACCCAACTAATTTTTTGATTTATTATAGAGATGAGGTCTTACCAATTTTCCCAGGCTGGTCTCGAACCTGTGGGCTCAGGCACCCTCTCACCTCGGCCTCCCAAAGTGCTGGGATTACTGGCGTGAACCTCCATGCCTGCTATGTGCAATTTCAAGCATCCACTAGGAATCTTGGGACATATTCCCTGGGGTAAGGGGGAACAACTGTACTCTATCACAGTTGAACAAATGCAGACATGGGTAATAGCATTCAACAAATGGTCACAGCTTTGCGCCACAAAGCCTTATTGTGAACACTGAAATTTTGAATGTTATATAATTTTCATGTGTCACAATTTTTTTTTTTGATTCACCCAAGTTAAAAAAAAAATAGACACAAAATTTGCTGCCACGTTCACATCTATAATTCCAACACTTTTGGAGGCAGAGGCAAGAGGATAGATAGCCTGAACCCAGGGGTTTGAGACCAGCCTGAGCAACTTGGCAAGACCTTGTCTCTACAATTAAAAAAAAGTAGCCGGGTATGGTGGCTCCTACCTGTAGTTCCAGCTACTTGGAAGGCTGAGGTGGAAGTATCTCCCGAGTCCAGCAGGTCAAGGCTGTGGTGGCCGTGAGCGTGCCACTGCACTACTGCCTGGGCAATAGTGAGACTCCAACCCCCCCCCAAATTCATTGACTGTACAAAAGCAGCTGGAGGAAAGTGGGGTGCACATTTTTCCAATACCTGTCTTAAACCATTGTTTGCCAAAATACATCTACACTCCAATAGAGAACTATAAAATAAGTTTAGTGGGCTGCAATCAGTTTACAAAAAAAGGTTTTCACTGACTCTAAGATGACGTCAATTGTAAATACAATATTTTTGATAATTTTATAAAATAAAGACAATGTATACTGTGAAGCAAATAATATTTCATATTGTTGAGTTGCTATAAATGCAATTTGATTTCAGAGATGTTAAAATGGAAATATAAGCATGCACCTTAGAATGAACGAAATCTATTAATGGCATAAATGTCTCAGCCTATCTCTTGTAGTGAGATGAAGGTATAATATACACTTTATATTTCAATTTATACACATACATGCATAGGTTTCCTTTCTCCTTTGCACAATAGTGTTTAATCATTTGGATTTAGATTTTTTGTTTTTTGAGTCGGAGTCTCACTCTGTCTCCCAGATTAGAGGGCAGTAGCATGCATGTTCACGGCCACCACAGCCTTGACTTGCTAGGCTCAAGCAATCCTTGACTTGCTGGGCTCAGCCTTCCAAGTGGCTGAAACTACAGGCACATGCCACCATGCCTGGCTAATTTTTTGATTTACTGTAGAGATGAGGTCTCACCAAGTTAGTTGCCTAGGTTGATCTCAAACTCTTGGGCTCAGGTAATCCTCTCACCTTGGCCTCCCAAAGTGTTGGGATTATAGGTGTGAGCCACCACGCCTGACTGGATTTAGATTTTATGAAATCCAGTTCTGTTTAGAGAACCCAGAATTAATGGGTTAGATTCTGTTGCATATCTAAATGACCATATTAATAACAACTACATTTTATTTAACAAAGATTTAGCATATACAGTCTGAGAGACTTGCTCTAGAAGCTGAGGACACAGCAATAAACAAGACACAAGTCCCTTCCCTAGTGTAGCTTATAATCTAGTGGTTGGAGAAAGAATAGAAGCAAGATATATTTTATATTTTGTGTACTAGGCAGTGATAAATGTTAAGTTGAAAAACAGTGTTGGAGAGATAATAGATCCTGTAAATTGAGGAAGTTGTGATTTTTTTCTCAACTCCCATTTCAAGAAAAAAGATGCTGTGATTTTGATAGTATAGTCAGAGAAGCCTTGCTGAGAAGGAAGCCCAGATGGGGTTAATCAGGGGAAGAACATTCAAGGCAGGGGGAGCAACAAAAGTCCTTTGAAAGGAAAGGGACTGGTGTGTTCCAGACTCAAGGAGCTCAGGATGCTGCAGCAGAGCAAAAGAGCCTCTTGCCTCAGCCTCCCAAAGCACTGGGATTACAAACATGAGCCACTCCTTGAGTTTTTGAGCAGGTTGCTTAGGTATCCAAAAGGGTACATCTTGGACGAACCGGAGGTGAGTGAGGTGCCAAGGGTGCATAGTTTAAGGAGGCAATTACTCTGAGATATTCAGCCTGTGCCTCCTGAAATCTTGGGCCCTAGATGCTTCATTTGCCTCACAATTGCAGCCTTGGGAAAGGTACATTTGAAGTTATACTCCTAAATGGTTCAAGATTCTTTTCATGTGTAAAATAGTGATGTTAATAGTTATCTCAGTATTTTAAGAAAAGAATCAATGCAGGAATAATTTTGTCTTTAAATTCTGACTGTTGTCACATGCTTGCACTTAGGTGGTAATTCATAAAAAAACAGCTTTGGAAGTTGAAGGGACCATTTGACTTCAAGCAAGACGTAATTTGAAAATGGCAGATCTCTTGTGTAAGGGAGAACAAGAATCACAGAAGACCATAAGAGAATCCAAACAGAAGGACAAGGATGATGAAGATGCTGAGCTGATCTTCGTTGGGGTGGAACACGTAAATAAAGATGCTGACATTCTCTTTGTCAGCATGATTTCAAATTCACAACCAGTTATTTCAAACATTTTGAACCGAGTCACCCCAGGCTCAATGTCAAAAAGAAGGAAAGACCTCCAAAATCCTGCTCGAAGCAAGCCTGCAAATCACACAATCCATACAGCAAAAGCAATTATGCCAGCATCTCAGCCTGAATGGGGATCAACAAGTAGTCCTGCTACTATGGAGTCTTCATTTAAACCTGCTTATAACATGAACTCACCACAAGTTCCTCTCAATTCCTCAGATATGCTTTCTGCAAATACTCAGTGTCTAGTTGGAGCTGTATGCCCCGTAAAAGGCAGAGATGAGAGTTCTCCTGATTCAAAGCGACTTTCCACTTCAGATATAAACAGCAGAAATCCGAAAAGGGTTAAATTCAGGGCTGGTGTCCCAGGGGCACATTCTTTAGCTGTGGTCCCTCCAAATATCTCTCCTATAATGGACACGAGTCCACCCTCACAGGGTGTCTGCAACTCATCAAGCCATGTTCAAAGTGGAACATCATTTTCTTGGGCTGATGCTAAGGAAAAGGCACATTTCTGTCTTATGGTTCCAGACACAGCAAATGACTTTGAAGGACTGGTAATTACAGAATTTTCAAGACTCACAAATCAAACCGATTCAGAGAAAGGAAATCTGTTCATGTCACTTAGTGACTTTTACTATGGACAGCATAAAGGAGATGGAAAGCCAGAAGAGAAGACTCAAACAACCTTTAAATGCATCAGCTGCTTGAAAGTTCTAAAAAATGTTAAGTTTATGAATCATGTGAGGCACCATTTGGAACTTGAGAAGCAGAGAAGTGACAGCTGGGAAAACCACACCACCTGCCAGCACTGCCACAGGCAGTTTCCCACTCCCTTTCAGTTGCAGTGTCATATTGACAGTGTGCACACTGCCCAGGAGCTCTCTACTGTCTGTAAAATCTGCGAATTGTCATTCGAAACAGATCAGGTCCTCTTACAACACATGAAGGACCATCATAAGCCTGGTGAAATGCCCTATGTATGCCAGGTTTGCCATTACAGGTCATCAGCCTTTGCTGACGTGGAAACACATTTTAGAACATGCCATAAAAACACTAAGAATTTGCTTTGCCTGTTTTGTCTAAAAGTGTTCAAAATGTCAGGACGATACATGAGCCATTGTCAGAAACACTGCAGCAAGAGAGTCTTTCGATGTCCCAAGTGCCGGCTACAGTTTTTGACATTGAAGGAAGAAATGGAGCATAAAACCAAGAATCATCAGACATTTAAAAAGCCCGAGCAACTGGAAAGGTTGCCTCCCGAAACAAAGGTTATTATCCAAATTTCACTTCAACAAGAATCAAGAGGTGAGGCTTCCATTGTGAGCAACACTGACCCCTGTACAAATTAAAAAGATATGGCTATAAATACTAGAGTCCAGACTCCCTTGCAGCAAAGGATCTGGCTGAAAATACGCTCTCCACCTCCAGGATGCTAACAAGCAATGTCATCAAGTGTCAGGTTTTATTTTTAGTGACATCTCATCAAATACCTCCTGTCCGAAATAGTAGCTCAGAAGTCTTCATGCCCCTTCCTAATAAAACTCCTCCCCACAAAGTAACCACTCTTTTGACCTACCTTTTTTATTTTTGAACTTTAAATAAATGAAATCACACAACAGTTTCTTGTCTTTGGGTTCTTTAACATAAGTAAGCTGCATTTTTGCAGCATATAGCAGTAGCACATTCTTATTCATTGTCTAGTAGAATTCCAGTGAGTGACTATGGCACAGTCTTTTGTTTTGAGACAGAATTGTTCTGTTGCCCAGGCTGAAGTGCAGTGGTGGAACCATAGCTCATTGCAGCCTTTGAACTCCTGGGCTCAATCAATCCTGTTTCTGCCTCCCAAAACACTGAGATTACAGGCTTATGCAGTTTTATATGAGTGTGAGTGTGTGTGTGTGTGTGTGTGTGTGTGTGTATCCTTTTCACTGTTGATGAACTTTGAGGTTGATTCTTTGGCTATTTTGAATAAAACTGCTATGAGCTTTTGCCTGTCTTTCGGTAGACATGTAGTCATTTCTCTTGTGTATCTATCAGTCTATGAGAAGATATGCTGGAACTGCCTATATTTTGCTTTTTAGTGTAGATACAGCCAACTACTTTTTCAAAGTGATTGAAACAATTTACATTCCTACTACCAATACCGAGAATTCCATCGCTGCTGATTCAGCACTACTGTCAGTCCAAGTGCGGCTGAACCAGCACTTGGTACCATTGGTGCCTTTCTATTGAAGTTATAGTGGTATCACATTGTGGTTTTAATTTACATTTTCCTGATTAGTAATCTTGAGAATGTTCTATATGGTACTGGCCACTTGGATATTGTTCTCTTTTATTAAGTGTCTACTCAAGTCTGGCTCCTCTTCATTTTTATTTTTTTTTTTGAGTTGGAGTCTCACTGTCAACCAAACTGGAGTGCAGTGTCACCATCATTGCTTATTACAGCCTGGATCTCCTGGGCTCAGGTGATCCTTCTGCCTCAGACTCCCAGGTAGCTGGGGACTACAAGTACCTGCAACCATGTATAGCTGATTTATTTTTTGTAGAGACGGGGTCTATGTTGTCTAGGTTGGTCTTTTTTTTTTTTTTTTTTTGAGTTGGAGTCTCTGTCGCCCAGACTGGAGTGCAGTGGCATGCTCACAGCCACCGCAGCCTCGACCTGCTGGGCTCAGGTGATCCTTCCACCTCAGCCCTCCAAGTAGCTGGAACTACAGGCACATGCCACGCCTGGCTAATTTTTTGATTTATTGTAGAGATGAGGTCTCACCAAGTAGCCCAGGCTGGTCTCGAACACATGGGCTCAGGCAATCCTCTCACTTCAGCCTCCCAAAGTGCTGGGATTATAGGCATGAGCCACCGTGCCTGGCCTGTATAGCTAATTTATTTTTTGTAGAGACGGGGTCTCACTATGTTGTCCAGGTTGGTCTTAAACTCCTGGCTTCAAGCAACCTTCCCACCTTGGCCTCCCAAAGTGCTGGGTCATATATTACAGATATGAGTCACTACCCAGCTTCCTGTTTTAGATCTGGGAGAGAACTGGATCACTGGAATTGTATTAAATTTTGATTTGCATGGTTGGTCTTTCTTGTGTCTTATTTACTGGAATTATCATGAAGCCAAAAGGAGGTCATTTCATGTGAATACATTTTAGAAATTACAGTTATCTCCTTTACATCTATGATTTTTTTTTTTGAGTTTGCGTTTCACTCTTGCCCAGGCTGGAAAGCAGTGGCATGCTCACCGCCACGCTAATGTTGACCTGCTAGGCTCCAACAATCCTTCTGCCTCAACCTTCAGGTGTGCGCTACCATGCCTGGTTAATTTTTTGAGTTATTGTAGAGATGAGGTCTCATCATGTTGCCCAGGCTGGTCTCTAACCCATGGGCTGAAATAGTCTTCTTGCCTTGGCTTCCCAAAGTGATGGGAATACAGGCTTGAATCACTGCACCTGGCCTCTTATTTTGACTATGATATACTGAACAGAATTTTTTTTTGAGTCAGAGACTCACTCTGTCACCCAGACTGGATTGCAGTGGCATGCTGGGCTCAGGCAATTCTTCCTCCTTTGCCTTCCAAGTAGCTGGAACTACAGGTGTGCGCCAGCACACCTGGCTAATTTTTTTATTTATTGTAGATATGAGGTCTCGCCATGTTGCTCAGGCTGGTCTCAAATCCCTGAGCTCAGGCAATCCTCTGGCCTCTGCCTCCCAAGTGTTGGGATTATAGGCGTAAGCCATCGCTCCTGGCTGAACAGAACTTTTCAAATGCAAGGATCACTAATATTTAGGCTGTGTGATTTGATCGTAATAAAATCAAGTTAAAACTTGGTAAAGGAATTAAAAATCTCAGATTTGGAAAATAACATATCTCTGTATAACCCTTAAAAAGAGAATCACTAGGGAAATTAGGACATACCTGGAAATGAAGGATAATGAACACATTACCAAGCAAAAATTGTGGAGCATAGTTAACTTGGCACTTAAAGGTAAGTTTATACTATTAGATACAAGATAATGGAGTTTACAAGCAAATTGCCTAGGCATTTATTTCAAAAATTTGTAAAGAGAAGCAACAGCACAAATCTACAGAGGCAGGAAGAAAATAAATAATACAGAGTGAAAGAAATAAACTAAACAAGATTGCTTAGGCAATCCTCGCCTCTGCCTCCCTAAGTGCTGGGATTATAGGCATGAGCCACCGTACCTGGCTAAAACTTTATAAACACTGGAATTTGAATATCATAATTTTTTTTTTTAGTTGAGTCTCTCTCTTTTGCCCAGACTGGAGTGCGGTGGCATGAGCCTCCACCTTCTGGACCCAGATGATCTTTCCACCTCCAATCTCCCCAGTAGCTGGGACTACAGGTATGCGCCACCATGCCTGGTTAATTTTTTGATTTTTTGTAGAGACAAGGTCTCACTATGTTGCCTAGACTGATCTTGAACTCCTGGGTCAAGCAATTCTGCCTCAGCCTCCTAACGTGCTGAAATTATAGGTGTGAGCCACCACACCTATAATTGGACAGATTTCATACAATTTTTACTTGTTACAAAATAATATTCTTTTTTTCAGCCATTAAAAAACCATAAAATCCCAGGTATGGCTTGCTGTAGGCTGTATACAGACAGGGGACAGGCTGGATTGGACTGGCCGCAGATGCAACGTTTAAGAGAATAAATGTAAGGTTCAGTTGTTTGCTCAAGTTCCTTAAGCATGAGGCAGTCAGATAGCATTTTTATTATTTAATATATATTTTTAAAGTTATGTTTAATTTTTGTAGAGACAGAGTCTTGATGTCTTGCCTAGGCTGGTCTCAAACCCCGGCCCTTAAGAGGATTCCTGCTTTGGCCTCCCCAAAGTGCTGGGATTTCAGGTGTGAATCACTACGCCTGGCTAATTTATCTATTTTTATTTTTTGTAGAGATTGGGTATCACCATGTTCCCAAACTGGTCTGGAATCCTGGCATCAAGCAATCCTTCCACCTTGGCCTCCCAAAGTGCTGCGATGATAGAGCCATCGTGATTCCCGGCCAGCTAGTGCTTTTATGGAAAAGGGACCCCACTTGGGGATAATGACCCCTGGTCTCCTGGTAGGCAATCTATCCCCCGTTGGACTGGAAGGCCCCCACCCCGGCCCTGAGCCCTGGCCGGCATGGCCCTGGAACCTTGAAAGCCCAAGATCCTTCCAGGGGCCCAGGGACATTGCTGCTGTCGCCCTCCCTCTCCACCCAGCTCCCTGCCTGGCGGCCGCCGGGTACAACAACACGCGCATGCGCCCAACTCCGACCGCGTCGTCCCGGCGCCCGCACCTGGCAGCCAATCACAGGTCGCACCGGGCGCGTGCGGAG